ACTGCCTGCAGTTTTGTTTGAGTTATGTAGTCCTGGGCAACCGCGCCATGAACAAACAAAAAAAGGAAAAGCAGCAAATGTTACAGGCTGAAATGACTGCGGACAAAGCGTCGGTTCCGTCTGCTAACAAAGAAACTATGCTCATCGCAGTTTGCTGCTGAAGCAATATCCAGGGGCATGAGACCTGGCAGAGGGGGTGACAGGGAGGAATGGTACCATGGACAAGTTTCTGAAAAGCAGATTGAAAGCTAAGGGGTGCTGAGGTTTTTTTTGAAAGAGATGGTTGCTGGTAAAGGGGCAGAAAAACATTAAATCAAGCAACTATACAGGCATAGAGAACCAAGGAAGCTTTTTCAGATGGAGGCTGAAACTGAGATTTTGCAAGGAAAACTGATAGCAAAAGGTTATTTAGTTACATAAATAAGAAGAAAACAATTTAAGAAAAATGGATCCAGTGTGGTTTCTGAAAGCAACACATATATTTGCTTTAAGGTGGAACTCCATGAGTTAATGAAAAGTGTATATTTAATGTGGTGCTTGGAGGACTTACTGAAGATACATATACATATTCAGGGAGACTGGGACAGAAACAATACAAAGATTTAGGAATAAAGTAGAACGGTTTAAATTAAAAAATTAGAATTATGAGCCATCAATGTGTCCTTGTAGAAAGAAGGCCAATATCATCTTATGCTGCATTAGGCAGAGCATTGCCAGCAGACTGAGAGAGCTGATCCTTCCCCTCTGCTCACCCCTGGTGAGGCACACCTGGAGTGCTGGGTCCAGTGCTGGGCTCCCCACTACGAGACATGGACATACTGGAGCAAGTCCAGCACAGCGCCACAAAGGTGATTAAGGAACTGGAGTACCTAACATAAGAGAAAAGGCGGAGACTGCTGGGAGCGCTCAGCCTGGAGAAGAGAAGGCTCAGGGGGATTTATCCATGTGCATAAACACCTGATGGGGGGAGTAAAGACAACACAGCCAGACTCTTCTCAGTGGTGCCCAGTGACAGGACAAGAGGAAATGGACACAAACTGAAATACAAGAAATTTCATGTAAATGTAAAACACTTTTTTACGGTGAAGGTGGTCCAACATAGGAACAGGTTGCTCAGAGAGGCTGTGGATTCTCCATCCTTGAAGATACTCAAAACCCAACTGGAGACAGCTCTGAGCAACCTGCTCTCGCTGACTCTGCTCTGAGCAGATGTTTGAACCAGATGATCTTCACAGGGCCTTCCTGCCTCAGCTGGTCTGTCATTCTAAATAGGAAGGAGACAGAAAATATAGTATTTGGTACAAAAGACAACAAATATTTCTCTGCAAATGTTTGTTGTTACTGCAACATAAAATAACAGTCATGCGTGAAAACACATTGATACAATACACTACACAATACGATACACAATACAATATGTGTGACTGTAAGCACAATGACACAATAGATAAAAGCTGAATATGAAATGAGACAAAGAGGTAACAGAATAACCACAAAGAATAAAAATGGAGACTAAAAGTAAAGAAAGCTTTTTGCGCTCAAAGCAACTTTTGATATTTGATAATCTGGGCTATATTGCCAACACTGCCAACATCCTCCGTGTTTCTGAATGAGATCTGTAAATATTACATGACTAATTTTCTCAACTCATAAAATGACTTAATAGCAAGTACTAGTTTACATAATACTTTCAGGAAAACGAGACAATATCTTGTGGATTTGGTTACACAAAGGGGAAATGAATTCAAGTGATTTCAGTAACCACTAAGCAAAACTGGAAACTAAGAGAAAGCTAACCAAAGAAAGTGGCCACAGGCCAAGTAATTACATTTCCATAGTGAAAGATATTACTGGAGCAGGTTTGAATGCTGGCATCAAGAATCCCAAAAAAGCAGAAAAATTTCTGAAAATCAACAAGAGGTAGGAAACTTCAGGACAATGTGGATGACACAGGTTTTTGTTTGTTTCTTTGTTTGTTTTAAAAAAGAAATTATGAAACCAGGAAGAGTAGGAAGAGCACCTACTAAACTGAAAACTTTAACTCTTAAGTCAGTATTAAGGAATGTTTGTATCTTTCTGGGCTTTCTAGAAATATTGAAAGATGTAGGCCTGTGCTGTCAGGCAAAGTTGGTTATTTCCTTTTTTTTTTTCTTTAAATTGTTTCTCTTTTGTTTTGTGTTAGGTAGTTGGCATCTTTAATGACTTGGTAAAAATATTTATTAGGAAATAACTAGGTAAATCATCAGAAATTAGAGATGTTTAGTATTTGCACCATTTCTAATTTTTTTTTGTCTTGTATCACACCAAGCTGCACAAACATCATTACTTACAACACAGAAATTGTAACTTAAAAATTACAGTGACATCTGTACCATCATGGTACATGGATGGGTGCACTCTGCGCTGGGTTGAAAACTGGCTGGACAGCTGAGCCCAGAGAGTGGTGGTAAATGGAGTCAAATCCAGTTGGCGGCTGGTCACGAGTGGTGTTCCCCAGGGTTCAGTACTGGGGCCGGTCCTGTTCAACATCTTCATTGATGATCTGGGTGAGGGCATCAAGTGCACCCTCAGTAAGTTTGCAGATGACACCAAGTTGGCTGGAAGCGTTGATCTGCTGGAGAGTAGGAAGGCCCTGCAGAGGGACCTGGACAGGCTGGATCATTGGGCCGGGGCCAACTGCATGAGATTCAACAAGGCTAAGTGCCGGGTCCTGCACTTCAGTCACAACCCCATGCAATGCTACAGGCTGGGGGAGGAGTGGCTGGAGAGCTGTCTGGCTGAAAAGGACCTGGGGGCGTTGGTTGACAGCTGCCTGAACATGAGCCAGCAGTGTGCTCAGGTGGCCAAGAGGGCCAATGGCATCCTGGCTTGTATCAGGAATAGTGTGGCCAGCAGGACCAGGGAGGTGATAGTGCCCCTGTACTCGGCACTGGTGAGGCCGCACCTCGAGTTCTGTGTTCAGTTTTGGGCCCCTCACTACAGGAAG